GGATGAAGTATAGTACATTAATCTCTGTATTTATGAGAAAAGACACATTGTTTTGGAGAATCTGGTTGGTTTTTTTTTCATTCGATATGTTCCTTAGCACATTTATAACAGGCAAATGAGACTTAAAAGTGTGTGAGGGAAATGTCAAATTCAAGAGCCCTTAAATGCTTCCAAGGTTTTATACTTTCTGAAGAGAATAAACCACAGCATAAGAGGAGCTTATAGCTTCACCATTCAAATCCAGTGACTGATGGCTCATGGAAGAGTGAATAGGTTTGGTTCATCACGTCCCAGCCTTTCTGAGGGACCAGTGCAGTTCCTTGCCTCACTGAACTGAAGACAATGAGAAGATCTTCTGAAGTTTATGAACGGTGATTTCATTTATCCGTGGTTTGGGTACACATTCTGTAACACACCATCATGCAGACTTTCGGAGTGAGCATCCACTGCTTTCAACCTCTTGGCTTAAATTAACTGTGGATTACCTTACATTTTGAAAGAAAACAAGTATTTTGCTCACATTTCAGTGGGAAAATCGTAATAGCCCCTATTACTGAATTCTGTCTTTTTAACTGCAGTTTGCAGCCACTGAAAGCGGGACTCGATTCTGTTCTGTGTCCACCTCAGAAAGCAAATCCATTAAGCAATTTTGTGCATTTCAGAAATGGTCCATTTCCTATAAATTATGTAACTGTGCTGAGTATGTCTCTAAACCTGAGTATATCTATACAGTCATAGAGGAGCCAACAAGGAAAGGTGCTATGCTGGACCTTGTTCTCGCCAACAAGGGGCTGCTGGGGAATATGAAGCTCAGTGGCAGCCTTGGCTAGATTGACCATGAAATGGTGGAGTTCAAGGTCCTTAGGGCAGTGAGGAGGGTGCACAGCAAGCTCACTACTCTGGACTTCAGGAGAGCAGACTTTGGCCTCTTCAGGGATCTGCTTGGTAGAGTAGCGTGGGATAAAGCCCTGGAGGGAAGAGGCACCCAAGAAAGCTGGTTAATATTCAAGGATCACCTCCTCCAAGTTCAGGAGCGATGCATCCCTACAAAGAGGAAGTCAGGCAAAAATGCCAGGAGGCCTACATGGATGAACAACGAGATACTGGACAAACTCAAACAAAAAGGAGGCCTACGGAGGGTGGAAGTGAGGACATATAGCCTGGGAGGAATACAGAGGAATTGTCCAAGCAGCCAGGGATCAGGTTAGGAAGCTAAAGCCCTGATAGAATAAAATCTGGCCAGGGCCATGAAGGACAACAAGAAAAGCCTCTGTAGATATGTCGGTGGTAAAAGGAAGACTAGGGGAAAAGTGGGCCCTCTCTGGAAGGAAACAAAAGACCTGGTTACCTGGGACGTGGAGAAGGCTGAAGTACTGAATGACTTCTTTGCCTCAGTCTTCACGGGCAAATGGTACAGCCACACTGCCCAAGTTGCAGCAGGCGAAGGTGGGGACTGGCAGAATGAAGAACACCCCACCATAGCAGAAGATCAGGTTCGAGACCATCTAAGGAACCTGAAGGTACACAAGTCCATGGGACCTGATTAGGTGCATCTGTGGGTACAGAGCTGGTAGATGAAGTGGCTAAGTCACTATCCATCGTATTTGAAAAGTCATGGCAGTCTGGTGAAGTTCCCACTGACTGGAAAAGAGGAAACATAACCCCCATTTTTAAAAAGAGAAAAAGGAAGCCTGGGGAACTACGAGCCAGTCAGTCTCACCACTGTGCCCAGCAAGATCATGGAGCACATCCCTCTGGAAGCTATTCTAAGGTACATGGAAAATAAGGAAGTGATTGGTGACAGCCAGCATGGTTTCACTAAGGGCAATTTGTGCCTGACGAATTTGGTGGCCTTTTACAATGGGATTACAGCATTGGTGGGTAAGGGAAGAGTGACTGATGTCATCTACCTGGACATGTGCAAAGCATTTGACACTGTCCTGTGCGACATCTGTGTCTCTACAATGGAGAGACATGGATTTGAGGGATGGACCACTCAGGGGATAAGGAATTGACTGGATGGTCTCACTCAAAGAGTTGTGGTCAATGGCTCGGTGTGACGAGTGGCGTTCCTCAGGGGTTGGTATTGGGACTGGTGCTGTTTAACATCTTTCTTGGTGACTTGGTCAGTGGGATTGAGTGCACTCTCAGCCAGTTTGCTAACAACACCAGGCCGTGTGGTGTGATTGACACACTGGAGGGAAGGGAGGCCATCCAGAGGGACATTGACAGGCTGGAGAGGTGGGACCGTGCAAACCTCATGAAGTTCAACAACGCCAAGTGCAAGGTCCTGGACGTGGGTCAAGGCAATCCCAAGCACAAATATAAGGTGGATGATAAGTAGATTAAGAGCATCCCTGTGGAGAAAGACTTAGGGGTATTGGCTGACAAGAAGCTCAACACAACCTGGCAATGTGTGCTGGCAGCCCAGAGACCAAACCATATCCTGGGCTGCATCAAAAGGAAGTGTGGCCAGCAGGTCAAGGGAGGTGATTCTCTCCATCTACTTCACTCTCTTGAGACCCCATCTGTAGTACTGAATTCAGGTCTGTGGCCTCCAACGTAAGAAAGACATGGACCTGCTCAAGCAGGTCCAGAGGAGGGTCATTAAATTGATCAGGGCACTTGAGCACCTCTCCTATGAGGAAAGGCTGAGAGAGTATGGGGTTGGAACTAGATGATCTTTAAGGTCCCTTCCAACCCAAACCATTCTATGATTTTGTGATTCTATGAAACCAGGTTTTGAACTGTGGGTATAGACAAGGACAATTAACTGTCAAGGGTAATTTCAAAGCAGTGTGTTGGATAAATGATACATTACTAGGAAATGCTCTGTGACAAGGAGAGCATTTTAAAGAAACTTGTTTTATAAATTATACTAGCTATATTATGTATTGTAGTTAATTTTAATTACATCAAAATATGTAGAATTAAAAGCAGTTCAATGAGAATGCAGTTATAACCTTTCTAAGGCATGATTCTGCTATATAGACTTTTGTTAGGAAATAAAGTCAAGGAAATGGAGATAAGGACTTGCATATTTTCTTTTAGTCTGTGTGAGAAATGTTAGATATGTTTCACTGGGTACAATACCTAAAGCAGAAATGGAAATAGAGCCTCTGACCCCAAAAAGTAATAAAGTTGGATAAATTATTACTCTGGTCTGTGTTCCCAAAATAGATTTGAGTGAAATGTTACCAAGTTCTTAAAAGAGAAAATATTAAAATGTATTATCTTTTTTTATCCCCAAACTGTAAAATCACTAATCTTCATCAAGGGGCTGCTTGAAGTACCTGAAATCAATAGCAATATCACCACTGATTTTAGTTTCCTTTTAGTAATTGCTAAAGAGCTTGGATATCATTGGGGTATGAAACAAAAAATAGCCTTTGTATTATGGTTTCTGCTTCAGGATTTGAAGTGTCAGCCACAAACCACACACCATGCCCCTTGCCCAGCCCACAGCTGGTGAGTAGCTGGGCAGCAAGAGGCAGCTTTTGGGTGCTTCAGCGTGTTTTCTGTTGCTGCTGCGTCTTCTCAGAGCATCCGTAAGGTCCAAACCTGAAAGTGTATCTCCAGTCTGCATCCATGCTGGTATTTCAGTTGGGTCAGAGGTGTGATTTTTGAGTCTGATGTCTTGGATCCTCCCAACTTGTCCTGCTTCAGTGTCTAGCATGGCTGTCTGGGGGTGCAAATTCCTTGCAGAGGAAAGGAAACTGGGGTATATCAGAGCACATCTCATGCACTTCTACCCCTTGGAGATCTTCTGTCCATGAGATTGGACTACAGCTAGTCCTAAGTCCTCAAAATGTGCAGATCCTCACCATCAGCTGTTCTGCTATGCCACCTACCAACGTAGAAATAGCCTTCAGGTGTAATGTTCACATCTAGTTCAAGTTATTTATACATGCATGTGTCTAAGGTGTTGACTATGTTTAGCCTGTACCCAAGGCTAAACTGTAACAGTTGCTTGATCACCCCTTGAACCCCAACCAGCCAGGGAGGGGAAAATGGAAAAAAAGGAGAGAAGATCCATGGATAAAAGTGTAACAGATTTAATGAAAACACCACTAATACAAACAGAAATATACTTAGCCATGTGAATATGCTGTCATCACAGTCTACTGCAGAGTAGTCCTCAGCAGAAGCCAGAGGAAGAACAGAAAGAACCCCACAAGAGCCTACTTGGCTCTGTAAACCTTTCTCCTTTATAAAGACCATGACATTATGGGATGGGCTACACCTGTAGCTAACTCAGGTCAGCTACACTGGCTGGTTTGAAACCCCTAACAACCTGCCTGTGATTCTATGCCAGCCAAACCAGGATGGGTGTCAAACCCTTTCTTACTCAGCAAACATTTAAATACAGACTTAAGCATAAGCCTCTACTTAAGTGGATATGCTTGGATTTAGAATGAGACTTCTGGATGTGTTTAAGATTTAGATGTTAAAAGTCTCAGGGAGGTTTTTGGTGAGTTTTTCAGGAGTGTTGCCACTCACGCTGAGTTGAAGATGTTTAAACACCCTTTAAAATGGGGTCCTTGGGTCCTGGAAGCTGGCTCTTGCACAGCACTGCAAAGTCATGGTGATGTAGGAAGCTAGATGTCATGGGCTTTTGGTAAAAGCAGGGCTCCTAAGTCACTTAGGAACAGACTCTCAGAATATTCAATCACCTGAACATTAGTTAAGTGCCTACTATATTCAGGAGCCTTTGAAAAATCTGTTAGCTGCATCTTCAGATATGAGGAGACCTTTACAATCTGGCTTTTATGATTTGTGACACTTCACAAAGCAATCTATAAATACCTTAAAAACCTGCTACTACTAAGGATACTCAAGTACCTCAGACACTTTTAAAACTTTTACCTTGATTAGTTTTCACCAGGGAGCTTATGTTGGAATAATTGTAAGTATAAGACAGTTCAGGAAGAAATCATTTGTGTACTGGAGAACATCTCATAAGCATTACCTTTTAACAAATTTGTCCTGCTGTTTTTCAGGTAAAGGTGATGTGTTTGGTGATATTTTCTGGAAGGAAACCAGTCTGGCCCATGCATGTGCCAATGTACGAGCTCTGACATACTGCGATTTACATATTATTAAACGAGAAGCCTTGCTTAAAGTGTTGGACTTTTATACTGCTTTTGCAAACTCATTCTCAAGGAATCTCACGCTCACCTGCAATTTGAGGAAACGGGTAAGGTGACAGCTCTTGTTTTCCCCTTTCTCTCACCAAGAGGTTGCACACTCTTGCAGACTGTTTGCAGTGTTTAACAACCCCCGGTTTACTCTTGATGTTTTCAGGTCATTGCAGATTAACTGCACTTTCAATAAATGTTGTCGCTCTTTGTTAATGATGGCTCAATAAAAGTTACCCATAGATTTGCAGCTCTGAGAAGCAGTCCTAGCAGGGTGACATATGAATTACATTTCTTTTCTTTTTCTTCATAGTTGCTGGTTTTTGGCTTTTTTCCCCCCATTGCATAATGTAAAGTTGTATTTTATAGTCTGATTGAATCCAGATTCTGGATTCCCCAGAGGTGAGGTTGAGTCTCTTACCTGCTAAGATATAGGTTAGAGGACAGTCTGATGGATCTGCATGGCATAGACCAACTAAGAGAAATTTATTGATGTTAAGTAAATAAAATGTACTCAGCAAAAGCATTGTATTAATACCTGCTCCTCTCACTTGCACAGTTTAGAATTTTAATATGGCAAGGGTAATAAAGCTTGGTAGCGATTTTACATTCACAGCTTATTTCTTAAACCCTCCTGCTCATTTTATAATCAATCAGCAATGCTCACTATCCATTAGTCCTTTCAAAGAACACTCCATCTAAAAATGAATTAGCTATAAGGGCATATCTTGAAAACAGGTTAAGGGATTCTTTAATTCGCATTGCGGCTGCAAAATTTAATCTTTATGTTTTTTTTAAGATTGATGAGGGTTATATAAATTTCATTTGCATAGAGAAATCTCATAACAATGATTTATAGATTATTGAGCGTTAACTGTGATCCTCTAGCTGCTGAAACACATTTTTCTGCAGCTGTACCTTGGGCATCTCACCTGATAATGTACCAAGGCTACCTCAGTATTTCATGAGACAGTTTCAGCCTCTATAGTAACACAACTAGAATTTTACTTTTCAGAGTCTAGTTTAGCCACTAGAGCATCTTACAAATGCTTCTTTCAAAGGTTTAAATTTTAGTGCATTCCTTGTGCTCATTAATATACCAAGTATGGCACAAAATATCCGTGGCAAAAAGCATATGCAATGGGATTACTGTCCCCCTCTGTCTTTGCTGGAACCTGAAAGAGCTGAATTATAATCAGGTTTGGTTCCAGCTTGTCAGCTTACCTCTGACTGGAGGGTTGTTAACTCTGCTTCAGACCTGAAGAAGGGCTTTGGGGCTTGAAAGCTGATTTGAGGTTTCTAGCTTATCACTTCTTTGTTGATAAGATGGCCTCCAAGCCTTGACTTCAGAATCCTCTCCTTGCCATCTCACCTGCCTGTGACATGCCACCAGCTACAGTCCCGCGATGACAATTCTCCTCAGGCGTTGCTGACGGTGATTTCATGGGACAAGATAATGCCACAGACTTTGTGCCAAAATGTATTCTTTCCGTCTTAAAACTGTGAACCTGTCACTTCAGCTAGCTTCCTGGGACTCGCCTTCCCCAATTAGCTGTGACAAGGTTGTGTACAGCAAAAACATGTATGTATCTTTTCCTGACAAGGCAGTGTGCTGGAGTTCAACTCTGTAGTACAGGGATGCGTATGGGGAATAGCCTGCTGGGTGGGCTTCATGGATTTTCTTCTCTCCCACACACCGTTTTTAAAGAAAATTGGTTCCCCTACAGCGCCCTATCATAGGGAGTCACCCATGTGGAAACATTCGTGGAGCTCAGGTCACCAGTACAGATACCTGCTCTCTGGCTCAGTGTTAGGTACATGGACTTCGCCATTGGGGAGTGACTCAAAGCAAGAAGGAGCAGCACTTCTAAAGAAATGTTAAATTTTGCAGAAGGAAAGGAAATGTTAGCTGGGGGCATGCGTGGGTGTTACATGAGACTGGATGGAGAGTCAAAGAAAGGTTGTGTCAGTGTGGTATATGCAGGGTGGAGTTAATTTCATTAAAAGTTGGGTGATGATGTCCAAGTTAGTCACCAGTCACCTTTATAGCCCATGAGGAATGGTTCCTCCAGAAGGCAATCATATGGCCCCTCTTCAGTGCCCAGTCTGGGACGGGAAAACCATCACCTTTCTGTTGACATTTGATAGTCCATGAACACTAACTTTTAGATACCTAGGGTACATCAGATGAACTTCAGCTGTGATGTCTCCTACTTTTTATTTTACTCAAGAACTATCCTGGGAGGAGTCTTACTTCCAGTATTGCAGTAAGATGTGCTGAGCCAGAGCCTGCTTTGCAGAAATTCTGTGTATTGTGCCTAGGCACAAAATAGATCATGCTACTTTCAACACCAGGGACACAATCTAAGTCCTGTTACATAAAGTTATTCAGGGGATTGGTTCAAACCTCATATCTTCTGAAAGTATACATGATTCCCTGTGGGGCACAGAAGTGTTTGACAGTGAGTTCATCTCTTAGGAGAAGCAGTGCCATCCAGGACAGTTTCATCAGGCAAACAGAAAGCAGTTGTTCAGGCAACAAAGCTGGGCTGACAGCTGCACTGTATTGCAGCGATTTGTACCAGAGTCATGTAATCAAAATGGAAAGAAAATCATTGTCTCCTTTAATTGATTTCAGTAGAAATACACTTAGCACTTTTTCTACGTAGTCATCACTCGTAAGGTTTGACATTTAATTATAACAAAAATACACTCCTTGTGGTTCTGTGCTCAAGAAAATGGCTGTTCTCGCTGTCAAAAATGTATAGACAGAATTGTTCTTTAATCAGGTCTGCTCTTCAAAATACACCACCAGTCTAGGTGGTCCTGCTCTGGCAGGGGGGTTGGACTAGATGATCTTTCAAGCTCCCTTCCAACCCCGAACGTTCTGTGATTCTGTGTATGTGGGTGCACGCACATGTTTGTGCTACACTTACATGTAGTCCATAGACTGCAAAAAAATTTAGACGTTCAAAAGACTAATAAATTAATAATAGTACTGAGCACAGAAGGTTAGTTCCACATGACAGGGAAGAGAAAGTCTCACTGAAGTGGGAAAATAATGTTTTCTCACTCCCAAATAACATTTAGAGGCCTGGCATATTGAATGACCTACTTAAGGCATCTGCTCGGCATGCTATTATCAACTCTGGAGTTTTGTTGTCTTTTTTGTGTTCGGTAGCTTAGCCATCACGCTACATTTATAAGCCCATAAAGTGTGCGTGCCTGCTAGCTTTTCAACCTGCAGTCATCTCTCCTGCCCAGGGTGGTGAGGTGACTTTTAATCTGTAATTGCAAAGTATTGCAGCATATCATGTTTCGTGCCCTGAAATCTTTATGGCGCATCTAACGTCACTAATACACACTCTAAGGCAGAACCGGGACTTTGAACTTTTTTTCCGAACTGGGAAAATAATTAATCTGGAAAGATATTTTTTAAAATCATAGTGAGATTACATAGCTGCCTCTGAGGACTGAAAGCTATAAAGAAGTGTTTGGGATGAGTCTTCAAAGAGTTAATTACTGCCTTCTGAGGTTGGAAGAGAATATTAATAATGTCTAATTCATTAAGTGCCTTTCAAGATTTCACACAGCTGGAGGAGGGCCTCTCTGCAAGCTTGAATCATGGAGCTTGGCCTGAGGAGAGGAGCCAAGACAGACCTCTAGGAGGCTCAAACCTGTATAAATAAATGTGCATTTTATTGGTGGTCAAAGTTCAGGAAGGCAGGCCTACATCAAGCTATCAAATGTGTTCCCACTGAAAACAACTGTTCAGATGAAATATTTTTAAAGTGGTGGTGTTGTTTTTTTTTATCTTTTCTCATCATTGTTTCCATTTGCACCAGCTAATGCACCACCTCCACGTAACTTCTAGACCAACACAGGAAAAAAATCAAATTTTTGGCCCTTCTGAAATCACAGCTGAAATTCTCCTGTGTTTCAGTAAAGCAACGATTTCCCCCAGAGCTTTTAAGGTACATGGTTACATACTGCTGTTTTCTACCATGAGCAAAATGGGCTGCGTTAAAGAAATGACTCAGGAGCAGCCAGGGAAGAGGACAATTGTCAGTGTAGGACCTTTGGTGCATTTGCTCCTGGAAGGTGTGCTGGAGAATGAGCCAAGGAGATGCGAGGAGAAATGAGTGCCTTTAAGGCAGTGAACTACCATCCAGAGAGGCTCAATTCTTTTCCCTGTGATGCTCTTAAAGCCAGGGATGATGGTGAGCGACTGATGTTCTCTAATTCCTCCAGCACACTGTGGATCTCTGAGGCTTTTTAGCAGGTGAGGCCATCAGACTGTCTTAAAACATGTGTCCTGTTTTTCTTTCTGTTTCAGGTTAGAATAATTTCTTTTTAAATTGGCTTTGTTTTTGCTTGAGGTTTTCATGAATCACTTGTGGTTTCTTGACTGAATCACTCATCATTTCTGTGTCACATAGTTTTTAGAAAAGCTTTATTTTAATTTGAAGTCTGCGTTCATGTCTCCTGAAAGTGAAGGTTGTACCAAGGTTCATTCAGGATCCCCCTTCTTTTTTGTTTTTTAAGACTCTCCAGATGGCGTGCTATATTAGCAAGTGTCCTGATGCAGAAACAATGTCAGCGGCAGAAAGCATTGCTCTGCATATTGTCCCTTGCTCCTGAAGGTTGCACATGTTCTGGTGAACCTGAGGACTTTCACAGGTTTTGAGCTCTCAAAGCCATTCACAATTACAGCAGCTTAGTTCAGAGCTGTTTGCACTTTGCCAGCTGGTGCTCACACTCAGTCCTGATCACTTGTGGGGACTGACTTGCTTACATGGAAGGGGATCAGAGCATCGTCGTTGGGTAACTGGCAAACAGAAAGCTGTGAGCTAACTGTGGAGCAGGACATGCTGAGCACCTCCTCTGCCCAGTGGTCCATCTGCACTGCCAGGTCCATGATCCATTTTCACCTTGTTTCAGTCTATTATTGGGAACTTTCTCCATGTGAGACAACGATGACGGCAAAACCTAGCTGGGAAAAACAAGTTTTTCCATCATTATTAATCAAGAGAAGCAGGGGAGAAAAACATTCTGCTTA